ATCAGCTGTTGTCAACTCAGTTGTAATTTTCGATTGTAAACTATTGCATATATCGAAAATATGTATCGATTCATGCTTCGTAATCATTTTAAACTCTCTTCCCATAGCACTTTAACAGTCTCTTCCCATAGCATTTTAGCATTGCAGATACGTTAATCCATTCCCACACTCAACACTGCTCACCTTTACTACTTCCTTCACCACCCCCTACGTCGTGGACCTGTTTCCCTCTCTTCTCAGCATTTTAGGATTGCAGATACATTAATTGCCAAAGACAGTTCCCACACCATGCACTGCTAGCCTTACTACTTCCTTCACCATTTCCTACGTCATAGACCTGTTTCCTTCCCTTCTCATAGCATTTAAGTATTACAGATACATTTATCTAACTGCCCAAACGGTTCCCCCACTCTGCACTGCTTGCCTTCCTTCCACCACTTCCTTTACCACTTCCTACGTCACGGACCTGTTTCTCTCCCTTCCCATAGCATCATAGGATTGCAAATACCATAATCTAATGGTCATAAACAGATCCCACACCCCGAAAAGCTCGCCTTTACTACTTCCTTCACCACTTCCTACGTCGCGGATCTGTTTTCCTTCCTTCCCATAAAATTTTAGGAATGCAGTTACCTGAATCTAATCGTCATAAACAGTTTCCACAGTCCGGACTGCTTGCCTTTACTACTTCCTACGTCACGGACCGGTTTCCCTCCCTTCCTATAGCATCATATGATTGCAAATACCATTATCTAATGGTCATAAACAGATCCCACAACCCGAAAAATCGCCTTTACTGCTTTACTACTTCCTTCACCACTTCCTACGTCGCGGACCTGTTTCCTTCCCTTCCAATAGCATTTTAGGAATGCAGTTACCTAAATATAATCGTCTTAAACAGTTTCCACACTCCAGACTGCTCACCTTGACTACTTCCTTCGCCACTTCCTACGTCGCGGACCTGTTTTCCCCCCTTCCCATAGACTTTTAGGAATGCAGTTACCTTAATCTAATCGTCATAAACAGTTTCCACACTCCAGGCTGCTCACCTTTACTATTTCCTTCACCACTTTCTACGTCACGGACCCCAAGCTAGTGTCATCATTTGATTACATTTATGATCTATACCGTTTCTGTTCTAATATCTGTGGAATAATGCTATCAGCTATTTCTTTATCTTCTGCATTCAAAAGTCAACAGCTGATCATATGTCTTTGTTCATGTCTCAAATACTGCTTCCATAAGGATTACATTGAAACTTTGAGACCCAGTCGGGCGGATTCCTGAGAGACTTTTTTTAACGCCATATAGATGTTGGCACTCACCGACATGGTCTTTATCACCATGCAAAATTTGAGAACGATTGATTCAGCCGTCTAGGAGGAGACGAAATGCACAAGAGTCGTCGTATAAGAGCTTCGCTTGCTCCGCTCAATCTATCTATCTATACTATTATAAAAAAGAGGTGGTTGCTGTATGTGTGTATGTGTGTATGGGAAAAGTAAACTCGAAAAATACTGGTCGGATTGGGCTGAAATTTGGCATGATGATAGCTCACATTCCCGATTAACATATAGGCATATTCTTATTTCAAAAATCCTTTCGGGCTCCGCCCCAGTGGCTCTGGAGTTTCCCATGTTAACCTTATGAGAAATGGAATTATTGAATCTTAACAGCTGTTTCAATTAAACAAGTTGGTTCTGTTCTATGATGTTCAATAGCATTAAAGTTACAAGGATAAATACCCTTGAACCTCTCTTGAATCTCTAGCCAGTCATCATAGGCTTTTAGCAGTTTCAGCCATTTGACCGTGACTTCGGGCACAGGCGAGAACAGCTGTTTCCGAGAACTCCCTCTGCTAAAGGAGTTTTGTTGTGCTTCTATTTAAGATTTCCTTCTGACTCCTTGCGGGACGTCCCCATGATATGACAGAAAATTGATATTTCCTTAAAAAAGTAGATTTTTAGGTGTGGTGTTGGTGTACCAAATGTTATTGATTGATCTGTTGTCGTTTAGAAAATATTAAACCGGTCCGGGACTTTTGGGACAGTCTGTATATGTCCGTTAACACGATAACTCGAGTAAAAATTATGAGATTTTGATGAAATTTGGTATAAACGTGTGAACCTACATTTATTCGAACGAGTTCGCGAACCAGCATGATCGGACTGTGGAAACAGGGGTTTATGGGGGTGTTTTATGGGGGTAAAAATGGGTTTTCCTCATTTTTCACCGTGAAAACATAAAAATTTTGCAATTTCTTTCCAAACCATTTTAAAGACCTAAAAAAACAAATAATTTAGTATATTGATGCATGTTGTATGCCTAACGGTTACGAAAAAATTTCCACAAAAAAGTGTAAATTTAAAATTACCATGTTATTGTTATGGAGAATAAATAAACTGTTGTAGCTTGCTTTTCTCTATGGACATATTTCAATAAAATTTTGAATTTTTTTACTTCATACTAAGCTATCAATATTTTAATAAAAAAAAAAACTCATTTTCTTCCCTGCAGCAGCAAACCTAAGTAGGCCTACTCATTAAAATTAATGATGTTTAAATAGGAAATAAATCTGACACTTAAGGGAATAATTTAGTGGAATTCCAGCCAGGTAGATGGAAATTCGCTTAGTCTGCCGGTTTGCTGAGGCGGAGGTATTTAATTGTTAAGTTAGCTTAGTGTAGTATAACGTAAAATATCGTACGTCACTCGTCAAAATGTGTTTACCTGACTTGTATGGTAATCCCATATTTGACTTCGTCTCTCACAGGAACGACCACACTCGTCAGGTAAACACCTATATTTTCTAGTAATGTAATATACTATTAAACTGCACACAGTTGTTGTTAGACATTTTGTTTTCGTTTTGTCAAAAAAGTATTGTTTTTGTGTAAATAATGTGTTAAATTGTATTTTCTATTTTATATTTATAATTATGCATGCAGGTTAAGTGTAAGAAAGGGCCATGTGGCCCTAACTTTGCCTGTTGAAATAAAGGATTTTCATTTCATTTCATTTCATTTTACAGTTTAATCTAATAAATAATTTAAATCGATTGGAAGATTTGTTTGGCAGGGGGGATTGGCCACCGTGTGGCACATGTATACTGTAGTTGTTTTAAAATGACAGGATCGTCAAAAACTACTGTGTTTTCGACCTATTTTAAGCGAAACAACCTTCTACCACTTTATTAACCAATAATTTATAAACAAAAATACTTTTTAAAAATGCCACGTTTTCAAACTCATTAAAAAGTATAAAATAGTTTATAAATGTGTTATAAAGATTTAAAACTAAAAACGTGGGGCGCATGCTAACTTACAATGAACTTCATCTATTGAACTATTATGATCTATTGCATACGCCCTACGTTTTTAGTTTTAAATATTACAAGTATTTATTCTCTCAACATATTTAACATATTTTTACATATTTATAAATTATTTTCTAATTTTAGCGAATTTCCCATATAGGGAATAAGCTATTACCGTAGTACTCATGGTAAGACCTAGACCCGGGACCGATTTACTTTTTCGTTTTGAGGTCCCTAGAGGCCAAAAACACCATCCGTTCAAATTCATATATATATGCAAAAATGATCCGATTTTGATGAAATTTGGTACAAACGTGTAAACCTACGTTTATTCGAACGAGTTCGCGATCCAGCATGATCGGACCATGGGAACGGGTGTTTACGGGGGGTTTTATGGGGTAATAATAGGTTTTTCCCATTTTTGACCCAAAAAACTTAAAATTTTGCAATTTATTTCCAAACCATTTTGTAGAGCTTAAAAAAACAAATAATTTAGTATATTGGAGCGTTATTATGCGCCTAACGGTTACAGAGAAAATTCCAAAAAATTGTAAATTTAAAATTCCCATGTTATTCTTATGGAGAATAAGTAAACTGTTGTAGTTTGCTTGTTTATGAACATATTTTGATCAAATTTGGAAAATGTTTTTATTTCTTACTAACTATTAACATTTTACAAAAAAAAAAATTTTACCCTCCCTGATGCAGCAAACCTAAGTACTTGTTAAACTAATTCTATTTAAATCGGGAATAAATGTTATATTTTTAAGTAGACATTTCAGTGTACATAATCCAATCAGTCAAATAGAAATTCGCTTAGTCTGCAGGTTTGCTGCGGCGGGGGTATTTAGTCTTAAATGTGTAAATATGTTAAATCTATTTTATATTGCCTGTTAATACATAACCAAAACCTTATTATTCTGTAATCAGATGTTTTATCTTTACTTTGAAATGCTTGTTTTATATTTTTAGAATTTCTCTGGAGCAGAGCAGAACCTGTACCTCTTAACCTCTGCTCTTCTAACTGTCAAATTTGGGCATTTACAGCTGACTTAAATTTATTGATATATTTACATTCTTTCAAAACGTAAACATGGAAAATTTGGAAGCCCATGGGGTGCAGCCCAAGGGAAATATGAAAATTAAATTATATAATATTGCATTGTCATCCATTTGAAGGCTACGTTTCTAGTCTCTAGCTCATCGGGATCTTCGTTTGAAATTAATATACAAATTTGTAAGAAAGTGAGCTAATAAAAACAAGCCCATGGGGCGTAGCCTAAGGGACATATGAAAATTAAATGATTTAATATTGCATTGTCATCCATTTGTGAAATATGTTTCAGGTTTCAAGCCTCTAGCTCATCGGGAAGTTAGTATAAAAATTATTGCAAAATTTGTACCAGACAAGAAAGCGAGCCAATAAAAACGTTTTAAAATAATATGTTATCCAAAATGGCTTGGCCCCCTTCATTTCGGATTGTTGGGGTTTTACTGTGTTGGTCCATGGTGGACTTCCACCATGGTGTTGGTCATTATTTTTGGGGTTAGTACAATGAATAATTGTCTGACACTGACACTCACCTGTTATATAGTTTTACTACATTGTTGTGATTAACTATGGGATTAATGCAGTTTTTTTAGATATTAACTTATGTTATTTTTCCACTGTTTTCCTGTCCAGGAAACGGCTACATCCCCACCTCCTGTCTCAAGGAAATTCTGAGAGAACTCGATGATCAACTGACCAATGAGGAACTCGACATGATGATTGATGAAATCGACTCTGATGGATCAGGAACAGTCGACTTTGATGGTACGTTAAGCAAAGTTATAACTTCTGGAAAAAAATTCAATATTTTAATAAAGAGTTATTAATTTTAAGTTTGAAAAAGAGAGTTCTGTCCTAGAGACTAAGTTCAAACCTTGCCAATCATCATTGGCTTTTAGCAGTTTCAGCCACTTGACCGTGTCTTCGGGCACAGGCGAGAACAGTTGTTTCCGAGAACTCCTTCTGCTAAAGGAGATTTCTGTCCTAGAGACTAGGTTCAAAGCTTGCCAGTCATCATAGGCTTTTAGCAGTTTCAGCCACTTGACCGTGTCTTCGGGCACAGGCGAGAACAGTTGTTTCCGAGAACTCCCTCTGCTAAAGGAGATTTCTGTCCTAGAGACTAGGTTCAAAGCTTGCCAATCATCATAGGCTTTTAGCAGTTTCAGCCACTTGACCGTGTCTTCGGGCACAGGCGAGAACAGTTGTTTCCGAGAACTCCTTCTGCTAAAGGAGATTTCTGTCCTAGAGACTAGGTTCAAAGCTTGCCAGTCATCATAGGCTTTTAGCAGTTTCAGCCACTTGACCGTGTCTTCGGGCACAGGCGAGAACAGTTGTTTCCGAGAACTCCTTCTGCTAAAGGAGATTTCTGTCCTAGAGACTAGGTTCAAAGCTTGCCAGTCATCATAGGCTTTTAGCAGTTTCAGCCACTTGACCGTGTCTTCGGGCACAGGCGAGAACAGCTGTTTCCGAGAACTCCCTCTGCTAAAGGAGATTTCTGTCCTAGAGACTAGGTTCAAAACTTGCCAGTCATCATAGGCTTTTAGCAGTTTCAGCCACTTGACCGTGTCTTCGGGCACAGGCGAGAACAGCTGTTTCCGAGAACTCCCTCTGCTAAAGGAGATTTCTATCCTAGAGACTAGGTTCAAAACTTGCCAGTCATCATAGGCTTTTAGCAGTTTCAGCCACTTGACCGTGTCTTCGGGCACAGGCGAGAACAGTTGTTTCCGAGAACTCCCTCTGCTAAAGGAGATTTCTGTCCTAGAGACTAGGTTCAAAGCTTGCCAGTCATCATAGGCTTTTAGCAGTTTCAGCCACTTGACCGTGTCTTCGGGCACAGGCGAGAACAGCTGTTTCCGAGAACTCCCTCTGCTAAAGGAGATTTCTGTCCTAGAGACTAGGTTCAAAACTTGCCAGTCATCATAGGCTTTTAGCAGTTTCAGCCATTTGACCGTGACTTCGGGCACAGGCGAGAACAGCTGTTTCCGAGAACTCCCTCTGCTAAAGGAGATTTCTGTCCTAGAGACTAGGTTCAAAGCTTGCCAGTCATCATAGGCTTTTAGCAGTTTCAGCCATTTGACCGTGACTTCGGGCACAGGCGAGAACAGCTGTTTCCGAGAACTCCCTCTGCTAAAGGAGATTTCTGTCCTAGAGACTAGGTTCAAAGCTGGCCAGTCATCATAGGCTTTTAGCAGTTTCAGCCATTTGACCGTGACTTCGGGCACCGGCGAGAACAGCTGTTTCCGAGAACTCCCTCTGCTAAATGAGATTTCATGATTGTTGACTTTCGTTGGCTTCTCATCTCCCATGGACATAAACAGACAAGAAAAAGGAAATTGTTAGTGGTTTTATTTAATACAAATAATGTTATTACGTGCTATAGAATTTTCCCGGCTATTATGGCAAGGCGACCTTAAGAAAATGTGATTCTGAGCAACAGTTTCGCAAGTAAAAAGGAGATAAAAGCATATGCCAACTATACACTGTTGCTGTTATGATTTTCCTACTCATAAGGATCAGTGATTGTGTGATAGTATGACAAGAACTAAATTAATGTTCTAATTAATGAATTAATGTGTGGATTGTTGACCTATTAGATTACAATGTATTCACCTAAATCTACCTAATATTAAATAACCTTTTTTTCAAACTTCCTAGTACCTTATTTTTTCAGGAGATTAGCTTTCGGCAATTGTATAACATCAAACCTTTCATCATACGTATTATATTTACTACGCTACCTAAGAGAAAAATCCTATTTTATTAATATTACTAGGCTATTCTACAACTCTTTTCTATCATAAACCCCCCCCCCCCGATCATGCTGGTTCACGAACTCGTTCGAATAAATGTAGGTTTACACGTTTATACCAAATTTCATCAAAATCGGATCATTTCTGCTCAAGTTACAACTAAAAAATGAGGGTTTTTACCATTCGTCTACAGCTCAATGAGTTGTAACTTCCGTTACGTCCGTTTCGGCATTAACATGCCATCATCAGACGTCATCGGCTGAAGCAGCGTCGTCACAGTAGAAACACATAACACGATCACAAAAACATTTTACGATTACAAATATACGCTCACCACCTCCCTTCATCGGTCGCGTGCATATCGGGTTGTTGCAAGAAGAAATGTGAATTATGAATACCCCCGCCGCATCAAACCTGCAGACTAAGCGAATTTTCACTTATCTGATTACATTTTTACTAAAATATTTCCATAAATAAGACATATATTTCCAATTTCAATATCATTAGATACAACGAGCGCTTAGGTTTGCTAAAACGGGGAGGATAAAATGTGTTTTTTTTACCAAACGTCAATAGCATAGTATGAAATAAATAAATTTGCCAAATTTATCAACATATATCCAAACAAGTGAACTACAACAGTTTTCATTTTCTCCATAAGAATAACATGGGAATTTTAAATTTACACTTTTTTGAATTTTCTCTGTAACCATTAGGCATACAACAATGATTCAATATACTAAATTATTTCCTTCTTAAGCTCTACAAAATGGTTGGGAATATATTCCAAAATTTCATGTTTTTAGGGTAAAAAATGGGAAACTCCCATTTTTACCCTATAAAACCCCCCATAAACCCCCGTTCCCATGGTCCAATCATGCTGGTTCGTGAACTCGTTCGACTTGACCAATTGATATGAAATTTGACCAACAGCTAAAGAATACTGAGCACAATGTTTATGGTAAAAAATATTTGCAAATTTCCTTCTGGATTTTATTTTACGGGTCATGCAATTTCGCTTGTTATTTTAATGTAAGTTGAAAGAAAAACTATATTGGGTTTATGACATATGGGTTTATCTCGTTTCATTTAAATAAAATAAACATATGTTAATTGTTTGTAACTGTTTTGTTTACATTTCAATGTTTACTTTCATCCTAGGTTAAAGTTGGAATGTAACAGTTTATCAATGGAAGTAACAGTACGGATGTCGCGTGATGCTAACGCAAAATCTATGGACAAACAAAGGATTGTGTAATGGTGCACTTGGCTTTGTAAAGGATATTATGTACTCTCCAACAGAAAACCGCAGTCCGATGTCAGAAATTCCGTTATGTATTATGGTGAAATTTGATAAATATAATTTATTTATTTATTTCTTTTATTACAATGCTGCAAAACAGGATAAACCCAGTTACATTGTAGCATTAATATTCGAACAAAATCTTGACATGCATTATAAATAATAAATATGGTAAAAGTTCATCTTGCTGAAGAAATTATAATTACAAGCTGCCTTACCCGTGCTTTGCAACGGGAAGAAAATGTGACCTAGAGAGCTATTAAAGTGGTGCTGATGTGCGTTTCAAAATACAGCTCTATGATTTAGTTAGAAAATATAAACTGATTTAAAAGCGTAAACCTACTTACTTTCAAACCCCTACTTTTGATGTTAATAGATCCATAAGAATATGACAACATACCTTAGTTTAGCAACAGCATTAATGGCTTCATATTGATGATTCATGAATGACATGTTTTACCACAATTATTCAATAGTCAAGCATTTTCACCTGTAGCTTACTATGTTAATAAAAAAATGAAACTTTGAGCAATACTTTACAAAACGTAAACAACCTCACTTTAAAACCAAACATAACCCTCCTCAATCTACATAAAGCTTCACAAACATATTATTCGAGTAAATAAACAAACACCAGTTCATTGTACTGACCAGCTGTTTAGGTAACTAAATTAAATTAAATCATTTAAACATTGGGAGCATGCCAGGCGTAGCCCTTTTGAAATCAGCCTGCGGGGCAGAGCCCTTAGTAAATTCGTCCATATCAATACTTTTCGGCAAATCTACACACTCTAAGCTTCATTTTGATGTGCCATATGCCTATATTTTTATTTGGTAAATGACCTTAACCGTTTACATAAAATTTGATTGTATCACTTTAATAATATAATAGATTAGTGTAATCACTCACAACAATACAATATATGACAAATACCCCCGCCGCAGCAAACCTGCAGACTAAGCGAATTTCCATTTGCCTGATTGGATTTACACTAAAATGTCTCCTTAAAAATATCACATTTATTCCCTATTTAAATAGAATCAGTTTAACACTAGGTTTGCTGCAACAGGGAGGGTAAAAGTGTTTTTATGTAAAATGTTAATAGTTAGTAAGAAATAAAAACATTTTCCAAATTTGGGCAAAAAATGTTAATAAACAAGCAAACTACAACAGTTGACTTATTCTCCTTAAGAATAACATGGGAATTTTAAATTTACAATTTTTTGAAATTTTCTCCGTAACCATTATGTGCATTATAACGCTTCAATATACTAAATTATTTGTTTTTTTAAGCTCTACAAAATAGTTTGGAAAGAAATTGCAAAATTTTATGTTTTTTGAGTCAAAAGTGGGAAAAACCCATTTTTACCCCATAAAACCCCCCATAAACCCCCGTTCCCATGGTCCGATCATGCTGGTTCGCGAACTCGTTCGAATAAACGTAGGTTTACACGTTTGTACCAAATTTCATCAAAATCGGATCGTTTTTGCTCGAGTTATCGCGCTAACGGACACATATATAAATATATATATATATATATATATATAAATATATATATATATATATGAATTTGAACGGATGGTGTTTTTGGCCTCTAGGGACCTCAAAACGAAAAAAAAAATCGGTCCCGGGTCCAGGTCTTACCATGAGTACTACGGTAATAGCTTATTCCCTATATGGGAAATTCGCTAAAACGAATAAATATCAATA